AGGCCCATTTGAATTCCCAATCGCGCTCCTATAAACGTAGCTTTGTGTAGTGCTACTGTGCTCCTCCCATCAACTGCACGGTGGCAACTGATGCTGTACAATCCCTCTAGCAACTGCAACACAAGCAGAAGTAGAAGGTGTATGGGAGCATTGGTAGGGTTGAAGGCTCCGAGGGGTGGGAATGGAGGCATTGCGATGGCTGTTAGTGCGGCGACACCAGGTGCAATGCTCTTCCTTCACACTGGGGTTAGCAAGACTTCCTGATCTAGCGCAGTTTAATTCAGAACACACTATAAAATGGCCCAGCCCACCTAAAACACACGCATTTTTCAGCAGCTACTACTGATAAAATTGCCTCTCAGCCTACGCCACGCACCAACTGTCATGTTAAGCTATGCCCCTCCTTCGTCTTTATTCATATGACAGCAACTGATCCAAGACTCGGGCATTCAATCACCTCCAATACTGCACGGGACAACAGTTATCTGAGATGCCGATGTCATCACTCTCACCGTCCTCCCAATCCTGTGAATCAGTGCTGTGTTTCCGACTTCACCTCACAAGCAGCCCTGCACCACCCCATGTATCTTAACCACCTCAGCAGCGAAAATGCAAAGAGATGTAGTAGGATTATTTATTGGGAGGGATGGGCAAGCCAGAAGTGGGAGGATAGTGGCACACTATTGGCAAACCGCTCCATACCCATTGGAGACCACAGACTTCTATACATGCTGCGACACGCCAAACCCAAGCTATACAATACGCCTACCACATTGATGACCAACTGCATGGCTTGCTCCATTGATGCGTAATCGCAGGCCACCATCCACACGACTTCTCCCACTGCGGCACCATCATCGACGACCATCCACACGGCTTCGTATACGGCACACTCAGCATCACCTCACCCATCGGTGCCGACTTCAATCCACACCATCCTGGTCCTCCCAAATACTCCATTCCTCCGCCTCTCCTCCACTTACGCTCTACTCTGCTCATTCGTGTGCTCTCCTCGCGCCTTTTATACTCTCCCTCACCTTCACCTCATCCTCCTCCTTCACCTCCTACTTCCTCTTCTTCTTCTTCTTCTACTTCTTTTACTTCACCCCTCTTCTTCTCGTGCCGCGTGACGCACCAGCCTCGCGTACTTCGAGTTCATCACCCGCACTTGCCCGCCTATCACCACCATCACCACCACCCTACATCAGAGCACTCGTGCTTTGTGCTGCCTCACGTGGGTGGTGTGGACGAGGCTGCGTATGAGCCAACAATCGCCTTTCCATGAGGCAGTGCCAACTTCGAGGCCAATGCAGGAGTCAGCATGTGCCATTGCAATGCGCATAATGTCACACTTGCACGCATAATTGATCAGCATTGATTTGGCCGGTCGCTGTCTCTGCGCCATGACGCGCCTCATGCAAGGCGTCAATTGACTGCCAAATGCACTGCTGTTCGTGTTCACCTTCTGCAATTACCTCTGGATTAATACTGCCGTTTTTGCCAATTTCTGCTCTCTTCCTCCTGTGCTGTTTCATCAGCTGTTTTCCATCAGCATTCCACCAAGAAATTGGAGTTACCATTGTGCTTAACTTATTTTAACACCATGTTACTGTTGATTGGTGATAGGCCGTACAAACATCTGCACCACTCCACTTGTATGGTATGGCTACTGTGTCAGCTGTAAAGGGAGTATTGGGCGGCATTCGGGTTGCACACTGGGCGACTCCGACCATGACTGTTTCGCCATCGGATATGAGACTCTCCAGAAAGTTATTTCTCATGTCGTGCAAGCCTATTCTTTGATATCTGTAGTTTGGATTCTATTGCATCGCACTTGCATCAGGTGGTCTCCGCAAGGTAGCACTCAGATATTCGTGATCATCGACTGCCACGTGGTCTTCTTCATTCGCACGTCCCCATAATCTCGAGATATTGCAAGATTAGAATAGCTAGAACACTTTTGTGCTGTCCTCAAAACTACGTGCGCCATTTTAATTTGCATGTGTATGCTGGCAATGATTGCACCTTAGCTTCTACAGGGCCTTTCGAAATTGCTAGCAGTAGGGCTGGGTGGCGTGGAACTTCTTACCCCGTCGATAGTGATAGGTGTAAGGCGGGAGAGACTGCGCAGGCACGTTGTAGCAAGTGCCCTTACATCCGTGTGGCCGCAATGGGGCCGCTTCTATTAGTTGGTCGGTGAAGTGTTACCTCAACCACATCAAGCAAAATGTCACGATTTTGCCGAGCAGTGCTATGCTTGGTGTCGTGATAACCTGTGCAGAATTGGCGAGGCTTCCGCTGTGATGCCATTCACTCCTCCGATCGGGGTGTCGAATTCAGCCTTTCGCCTCTGCTCACCAACTCCCAACGCTTAGTCCAATTCGCAAATCACCTTCTCCTCTACCATTACTCAAATTACGGGCAGTTGGATGGTTTGTGCTGAAAAACAGAACAAACAGCAACATGTCTACATCCGAGAGAACAACGTGTTAATGTCACCCCCTTTGGTTCCGTGCCTACGTGGATGGCTAAAAAATGCAGCAAGTGCAAATAAGATGACATGTAGGCGAGACCACCATTCCGACTTCGCTCTGAGCTAAAATTAGTACTAAATCCAACTACGAGGATGTGCCGTTCATTAACGGGCCAAACGTATGCGTCAACTAAGGTGCTTGCGATTATATGCAGTAAATGGAAAGCAAATTAGCAAATAAAGCGCGCCAAATGTTCACTCAAGTGTTCAATGGTGGGTAATTAGTGACCATCCACGCTCATATCGAACCCATCTTCGCTTATTCCAATCCTATATAGTTGCGCCTTGTGCAAACGGTGACTGAAGGGAGCCAATCCACAATGTCGTGATCACCTCGGTAACGAGAGTGTCTACAACTTATTGCCAAAGGTGTTGCTAAGCATCTGATGGGGAAATGGCGTGCGGTAGACGAACTAGAGAATCTCACATATAATACGGCAATAAGTATGCTCAGGTGCCTGATGATGTTGCTCATAAGCCTAGGAAAGCACACATAAGTAGAGAATGCAGAAGGTGAACACGAACAGCAGTGCATTTGGCAGTCAATTGACGCCTTGCATGAGGCGCGTCATGGCGCAGAGACAGCGACCGGCCAAATCAATGCTGATCAATTATGCGTGCAAGTGTGACATTATGCGCATTGCAATGGCACATGCTGACTCCTGCATTGGCCTCGAAGTTGGCACTGCCTCATGGAAAGGCGATTGTTGGCTCATACGCAGCCTCGTCCACACCACCCACGTGAGGCAGCACAAAGCACGAGTGCTCTGATGTAGGGTGGTGGTGATGGTGGTGATAGGCGGGCAAGTGCGGGTGATGAACTCGAAGTACGCGAGGCTGGTGCGTCACGCGGCACGAGAAGAAGAGGGGTG